GTGGCAGTCCAGCCTGGCCACACAAGTCCCCAAACCCCCTGGCTGCAGGAACTGCATGTCCCTGGGTGCAGGGCTCCCCCACAGAAAGGAGCTGGGCAGGACCTGCATCTGGGGCAGGGGAGGAGGTAGAAATGCTTGTTTACGACAGTACGATTCTGGGTGTGGAAGAAAACACACTTCATTTTCCTGGCTGAGGTACAGGACAGAGCTTGGAGAAGGTCTGCGGGAGGCAGGGCTGCCTAGAAGGAGCCCTGGTGGCACAGTGGTTGAGTACTCAGCTGCTAACCTAAAGGTTGGCAGTTTGAACCCACCCAGTGGCTCCACAGGGAAAGACCTGTCTGTCAATCTGCTCCTGTAAAGATTAAACCCAAAGCAAACCTCTTGCCACGGAGTCGATTTCAACTCAGTGACCTACAAGACAGAGAAGAGCTGCCAGAAGGTGAAGCTGTAATCGTCACAGAAACAGACTGCCTCATCTTTCTCCTGTGGAGTGGTTAGCAGGTTCCGACCTTTTGATCAGCAGCCGAGTGCCTAACCATTGCACCACTAGGGCTCTTTGGGTAAAGATTACAGCCTACAAGAACCTACAGGGAAGTTCTGCTCTGTTACCTCAGGTCTCTGTGAGTCAGAATTACTCGACGTCCCCCAACAACCAGACTGCCTGTGACATTTCATCTAGGGTGGCCCAACCACTGTCCCCAGCACACTTCCACCTCAGCTAGACCATGGTGGTGGCTTTCTGGCCAGTCTCCCTGAGCCTCCCCCCACCCCCCACCTCCAAGTGAAAGCCAATTGAACTCACTGACCCGGTTTTAACGGGATCAGAGGTTCACTGGGGACTTTGTAAGTCACTTAGGAAGCTGCCCTGTGTAGAATAGGGAAGTACTATTTCTGTAAAGTGCTGGGAGCATGGAGACCCTGCACAGACCACAGCCTCTTGTAAGCACAGGGCAGACGGGCTCAGAGCACCCTGAAATGCAGCCAGCAGCGAGCACGCTGAGATGTTCCCCCATCCCACCAGGTGCTGCCCAAGGAGGTGGACTCCCTGGAGAGAAAGGGGGCTTGGGGTCAGGGGTCAGACCTGCCCCCGCAGGAGCTCTGTGAGGCAGCAGGGTCCAGGCTGGGCAGTGATGTGCCAGCTCCCAGCCAGGTCTACAAAGGTGGCTGGGAGTCCCCAGGCACGGTCCGTCACATTACAGCAGGTCATTGGAGTGGCCCTGGCACAGATCCTTCCCACAGCTGCTGTCTGTCCCCTCTCCACCCCATCTCTCTGGGGCCCTGCTCCCCAGCTCGGGGCCACCTCTGATGCTGTGGTTCCAATCAGGTTGATTTTAAGCCTTTGGCAAAGCTACTGAAACCTTGACGGCCTGTATTCTGTATTCTATGCTGGTTCAGGGCCCCAGAGGCTGTGGGGTGTCACTGACGTGGCCAAGAGCACCGAGCCTGAGGGAGGGGCGCTGCCAGGCCTGATCCAATAAGATGAGCTCTGTCTGCTGGTGCAGGTGACACCCTTGTCCACCGTGGCCTCAACATGGGACACAGGCTGAGGCGTCAGGGGCAATGAAGGCCACCTGGGCCTGGGCTCAAAGGAGGAAGAGTAGTGGCAATGCAGGGGCCTGGTCCCTGAGCTCCAGGATCCTCACACTCATGACAGACATGGTCTCAGGAAGCTGCCAGGCCAGGCCCGGTTAGTTCAAACTCCCTGACCCATGAGAAAGTGAAAATCTTACTTGGGAGGATGTTGGGGTATCTGTTTTTTTCTCTGTTTTCTTCCTTGTTTGCCATCTCAAATGTTCCTTGGATGTGTCCCGATGGTAACGACTACAAGAAAATGTAACAGTAGCATGACACATGACGACCCCAAACCCCATTCTCTTACCAGCTTTCCTGCTAGGGAAGCAATTCTCTGGACCAACCACCTCTGTCCACCTACCGTCTCTGCCTCGGACTCTGTCCCGGGCCCAGGATGTGGGAACGAGGGGGACCCCAGCCCTACGTCTCTCTGTGCTCTTTGTCTATGGGGCCACCAAATGTGTAGACCCTGAGCTGCACAGGCAGGGACCTACCTGCCCACTGTATCCCCAGACCCCCAAGTCCTGGCCCAGAGCAGCTGCACACAGATGTATGGACAGACAGACCAGGAAGGAGCACTGGATGGAAACGGGGAGCAAGCAGCAGGGCAGGGAGGCGAGGAGGGTGTGGTGACTTCTGACAGTGTGTCTGCAGGATGAGCAGATGACCCCGACGGGGTGGAAGGGACCTTGACTTGGTCCTCCCAAGCAAGGCACGCTCCATGGGCCAGCAGGTCGGCGCCACCCAGAGCGTCTTCCAACCGCAGGGGTCAGGCTCTGCCCTGGACCTGCTGGGTCAGCATGTGCTCTGACCCAGATGCCCAGACCAGCATGTGCACACTGGACTTCGATAAGCATCATCCCAATCCCCTCCCCACTTTAGATGAGGAAACTGAGATGTGGACCCCGTAGCCCAGGACCCACCCAGCAGGGCTGCTAGTCCTTTCCACCACTAGGAGCTGCTTCTGGCTGTGGCTGTCTCCTGCTGCCCTACTCTGTTTGCTCACAGCTAGAACCCCTCCAGGCTCGGGAGAGCCCCTTGTCGTGCACCGGGAGAAGAGCCTCTGAACCTCTAAATCGTGTCCTTGAACGTGAACCTGACCACTGGCCGGGGCCACTGAGGGCCAGCAAGCATCCATTCTATGGCGGTGCCAGGTCCTGTGTGGGGAGCAGGCCATCTGCTCCAGTCATCACAGCACACCTACTAAGTGACCCTAAAACCAAACTCCAGGGTCATCCGAGCAGGGAAATTGGCCCAGGGGGTTTGTTTGATGCTGTGAGACGAGATTCCATCCCCACGCTGCATCCTTGCACTTCCACGTGCCGGGAGGCAGCAAACGGACAGGGGCGCGGTGTGGCGGTCACGCAGGAAGCCTGCCCTGGTCCCAGTGAGGCACAGCTCGGCGATTCACTCTGCCAGTTCGCCTCCTGCTGGACAGACCTGGACACATCTCATTACCAACGACTGGCTCAGAGGAGCCCTGGTGGCACGGGGTAAAGCACTCGGCTGCTAACCAGAAGGAAAAAGACTGGTGATGTGCTCCCTTGAAGAGGACACCCTAGGAAACCCTCGGGGGCTGCTCTCCTCTGTCTCCTGGGGTCGCTACAGCAACAGGTTTGGTTTCGGGCTTCTGGACTGGGTCAGGCCCAGCACATGCTTGAAATAACCTGTTGGGAGCTGAGGGGGGCAGGTCTTCCTGGGAGGGCTCTCACTTGCTGGGTCTAGTCTGGGCCTGGATCAGGGTGCCTATTGGGGGCAGAGTCCTTCTGACAGTGCCAGAGCCCCTGATGGCATCATGCAGACATGGCTCGCCCTCACACGCCTCCTTCATTCACGTATCCTGACAGTCCCATGAGGCAGGGATGACCCTCATTTACAGATGGGGAAACTGAGGCAAGCAGAGGCCCTCAGGGCTGGCAATGGAAGAGCTGGGACATGCACGCAAGTGGGCAACTCCAGCACCTTTATACCATGGCCACCGGGATCCCCAATACCAGCCCCTTCCCATCCATGCCCAGTTCTCCACAGCTGTGGACTGACCGCTTGGAGGCTGGACTGTCTTGCTTTCAGGGCCCCTGGGAGAGGTGCTCAGGGCATCCAGCGGGTATGGTTAGAGAAAGAAGGAGCATGAGTACCAGACCAAGGGCATCCACCGAGGAACCCAGGTGTGCTTGTCCCAGCAGCCTCCGCTGGCACCGGGAGGAGGGTGCCACACAAGTGGGGACATGCCAGCCCCCACTTTCCAGAGCAGAAAACTGAGGTGCAGAGTGACAAGTAGCTGCCCGGGTCCCTGAGACGCAGAGCCAAGCTCCACTTTCTTGACTCTGAGCCCGGTGCTCTCACCCTACCGCCGTGCCTACCCTGTCAGCAGGCGGGGAGGACTTGATGGTCACCTGAGTGGGCAGCGGAACGGCAGGGCTGGGATGGGGCAGGCAAGTGAGACACTCACCCGGGGCAAAATTTAACATTTAACCCCTCAAAAAACCAAAACTCACAGAGAGCAAGTCAGTTCCAGCTCACAGCAGCCTATGGGACAGAGAAGAACTTCCTCATATAGTTTCCGAGGCTGTGAATCTTTTCAGAAGCAGATGGCCTCACTTTTCTCCCACGGGGAGGCTGGTGGGTTCAAACCATTGACCTATTGCTTAGCAGCCAAATGCTTTGACCATTACGCCATCAGAGCTCCCTAAGATAACACGTTAAAGCTATAGAGATACTGTTTTCTTTTCCCCAGTTTCTCCACATGCGACTCGTTGACAGTGGTAATGTCCTTCGAGGTGTGACCCTTTCTCAGCCTCCTGGTCTCAACTGTTCCTCCCCCATAAACATAAAGTCACTGCCCTCTAAGCTTCCCCTTTAAGCTTCCGACCCCATGGGGACAGTTCTTTGAAGAGCACAGTGCTCAAGCTGGTGTCGCCTACCAGTTAAGAAAAGCAAGATCCTCAAAAGTCAAAATCAATGCAAAAATAGTCCAGAATAGTGAAATTGTAAGTAAGGACAGGATCGGTGACGGAATGGGGCAAGCTGTACCGGAGCCCAAGACTCTGGTACGCGGCCTTCCGTGTGAGGACCAGGAGAGTCGGGAACGTTGATCTTGCTGAATTTATGAGTTTGCTATTTCATTTGCTGTAGGTTTTTTGTTATCATGTTCACCGTCATTTTCGGTAACTCCCATCCGCCTCAGCCTCCGCCCCTGCGAACCTCTAGTCTGCTTTCCGTCTCTGCATCCGTCTATTCCAGGTGTTTCATATAAGTGGGATCATACAGTGTTTGTCCTGTGGGTCTGACTCATTTCCCTCAGCACAACAGTCACTCCCAGTATGGACCCTGTGCGGCGTGCACCCGGCCTTCATTCCCCTTTGGGGAGGAATCACTGAGTTGTGTGGATGGGCCCCATTCCACTTCTCCTCTCCTTTGCTGATGGACTCTTGGGAAGGCTCCACGTTTTGTCTGTTGTGACAAGTGCTGCAATGAACATGCGTCTGCAAGTGTCTGTGGGAGCCCTGCTGGTAAGCTTTTAGGCCCCCACCGAGGGGTGGGATTGCTGGACTGCATGGCATTTCCATGTTTAACTTTTTGAGGAATGCATTAATTTGGATACTTTTAAATGCTGCACTGAAAAGCTATTTATCCTGACTACTGAGTTTTGGGGTGCCCCGTCAGCTTTGTGCCCCAGGTGCCTCAGACACATCACCCTGGCCTCGCCCATGAGGTTGCTGGCATGTCTGACGCAGGGCCCTGCACCGGCAGGCCCAGCTGCCCGTCTCCACAAGGAGAGGCAAAGTGCAAGGGCCCAGAGGGAAGCAGGGCGTGGAGAATACAGACTCCTCCAGCCAGGCGGCCGCCGCAGAACAGCACCGCGCAGAGCTGTCGCTCAGGATGACATAATTTTTCAACAAAAAGGGAACACATTTGGAAACAACAAAGAAGAAGTGACATAAAGGCAGACCAAGGCTTGTGCTAAACAATAAGCAAAGCACAGTTTAAAGGCGTCATCATCTTCCTGCATCTACAGGAGCTTTGTCCGAAAAGTCACTTATCTGCGGCCAGATGCTCACCATCTTTAAACCCACCACCATCAAGTCGATTCTGACTCAGCGACCGTACAGGACAGAGTGGAACTGCCCCACAGGGTCTCCAAGGCTGTCAGTCTTCACAGAAGAGAAGCCCAAACCACACCCTCTGCCGTGGAGTGGATTCTGACTCACAGCGCCCCTAGAGGACAGAGCGGAACTGCACCAGAGGGTTTCTAAGGCTGTCATCTTTTTTTTCTTTTTTAATTGTGATTTGGGTGAAAGTTTACAGAGCAAATTCACATAATGCTACAATTTCCCATAATGCAACAGCTCTCCTCCCACTTTTTCCCCATAGTTACTTCTTCCCTGTGTCCTTCCCTCCCATGCGCTCCTGCTTCCTAAGCTGTCTCGCTGTGCATAAGCAGCCCTTCTATTCTCCCATGATTGTTCTCTCCAAGGAGTGTATCTACCCTAATGTAAATGGTCAACTCATCTGCCTGTCTTTTGCTTGCCTGGAAGCCACAGGTGGGGGTTCAATTCCAGACCTGAAGGGCAGCGAGGGGCCATGTCTCAGGGGTTCCATCAGGCTCTATCAGACCAGCAAACCTGGTCTCTTTTAATTTTTTTTTCCAAATGATTTTTAGTTTTGTTCCACATTGTTCTCCCTCTCTATCAAGGATCTCCTACATAGATCCCCCTCTGAGTGGTTGACAGTGGTAGCCAGGCACCATGTAGTTCCTCTGGTCTCATAGTCGTATAGGCTGAGGATCACATGGTGTACCAGTTGCTTGGACTAATTATTTCCATGAATCTTTGGTTTTCTTCATTCTTCTTTGCTCTGGATGAGGAGACCCATCATTGCATCTAGATGGCAGCTTGCAAGCTTTTAAGATCCCAGTTGCTACTCGCCAAAGTAGGAGGTGGAACAATGTTTTGTGTAGTATGTTAAGCCAATTGACCAAGGCTGTCGTCTTTATGGAAGCAGAGTGCCTCATCTCTCTCCAGTGGAGTGGCTGGTGGGGTTGGACCCTTGACTTTCACCACTGTGCCACCAGGGCTCCTTTCAGAGTCTTCAGGTGTGACAATCACTCAGGGCATTGTAGTACATGAAGTCCATTATCTGAGGCTCACATTCAGGGTGCAAGGTAACAAAGACAGACACCAACCCCACCCCCACTTCAAAGACGATGACACTGGGGTTCACAGGGGTGAACGGGTGCCCTGTCTCGGGACGAGAAGCAGAGCCTGGCAAAGGCCACTTCTCCTGCTGAAAACCCTGTCGTCCTTCAAGCCCCACTCTCGGCAAGTGACTATGTCTAAACAGAGAGGATGCAGGAAACAAAAGCCAAACGTCATCCCATGAATGGAAAAGCATAATGTGGTCCCTCCACACAGGGTCACATAGCTCAGCCATAGTAAAGTGCTGATCCACACTGAGACACGGGTGGCCCTTGACAACATGGGCCGAGTGAAATAAATCGGACACAAAAGAACAAACACTGTATGACCCACGTGTGAGCAATAAGTACATACATAGAGACCCAAGCTTGTTAGCAGCTCCCAGGGGTCGGGGTGGGGGGCACATCAGGAGGTTAGGTCTGTCCTGGAAGTCAGCTGCTCCAATGGCCAGCTGACGGTGGGACCACAACACGGAAGCAAGTGGAGACTTGTGCTCACGTTCAAGCAGATTCCACTGCTGTCCACCCAGTGCTGTGTCCCCTCCAGGCACCCCAGTGACTGTTACAATGATGCTGGCATGGGGGTGCAGAGGAGGGATAACCCTATTCCAGGTGGGTCCCAAGCTCCTGGGAGGTTTGGGGCACCACTGCTGTCAGCCTGAGAGCCCCCACCATGCTGTGCCCAGCCCTTCTCCTCATTCCCTAAAGGACAGTGTTTCTGTGCCACTGACTTCAGAACATGGCCTCCCAGTGTGTGAGCTGCAGCTAACGCCACTGTCACGAGAAACTGGCTCGGCCATTGCGTTGTACACAGGATGAAGGGGTGTTTGGGGACGGTGGGGTGACTGGGGCAGGGTTTCATTTTACACAGGAGGAAGGGGTGTTTGGGACGGTAGGATGACTGGGGTAGGTCAGATCTTTGGGCTGATCTAACCTGATGATGGCTGTCTCTCACAGAGCCCCACCACCAAGGGCCCAGGCCCCACACTCACGTTAAACTCCTCCCGGAAGCGCTTACAGTCGTCAGCCGAACGCCCTCGGATCTCCTCCTCCAGATGAGCCACAGGGATGGGGAAGTACTTCTTGGGCCCCGAGGGGGACCGGCTGAGCAGCATCACCCGCTGCTGCTCTGTGGGACCAAAGAGACACACGGGCTACTTAGGCACAGTGCCCGGTGGTGACTCATTCACAAGAACATTCCAGAAGAAATGATATGCTGGAGAGAGGGACACTCAGCCCGGATCATGCAGCCCCAAGCTCAGCAGCCGGGAGTGAGGGAGGGACGCTCAGCCCGGATCATGCAGCCCCAAGCTCAGCAGCCGGGAGTGAAAGCAAACCTCCACCTCTCGTGATGTGTCCACGCCACAGGTGTCCCCCTGTCCCAGGCTACCTGCTCACACTGACTGCAGACTCCTTACCTGCCCAGCTCCTCCACCCCGCAACCTCTCTCTCCTTCCCTCTGCCCCACCCCTTCCACCTTCACCCACCAGCACTGGCTTCCGGTTTTGGAGACAGAGATGAGCTAATTACAGATGGGTTCATTGAGTGGCACAAATGGTTAGATGCCTGACAACTAGCCAAGAGGTCGGTGGTTCAAACCCAGCCAGAGGCACAATGGAACACAGGCCTGACATTCTGCTTCCAGTCAGTCACAGCCTTGAAAGCCCCATGGAGCCTGGTTCCTATGCATACAGGAGGTTGTCATGAGCCAGAATCAACTAGACACAACTAACAGCAACAAAGATGAGAGGTGGGAGTCCCTGGTTAACATGCTCGGCTGCTAATGGAAAGGTTCGAGTGCCTTGGAGAAAAGGCCTGGTGCTGTATTTCCAAATCACCAAGCGGCCCTCCTCTGACACACGTGGGGTTGCCACAAGTCAGGATCCATTCCATGGGAACTGGTTAATTATAGGGTTCTCGGTGAAAGCTCAAAACAGACCAGGGATCCGTTAGGATAGGAGTCCCCTCAGCTCACTCAAACCCAATGAACTCCCAGGGGAGTAAGAGGAAGTCCTCCTTGTTCAGGGCTGGGGTGGGGTGTTGAAAAGGAGAAGGGTGGGGCTCCAAGGCGCTCCTGAACCAACTCCTTCCCTAAAGTCCAACTGAGAAATAAGAAGTGAAAGAACCAGCTTGGTTCTTGGAAGGTTGGGCCTTCTTCTTGCAGAAGGAGCTGATGTCCTTGACGAGGCCAACGGACTCACTCTGTCGCCCACCTGCAGACAGGCCTGCTCCCACCTGCCCAGTCTCTCCGCAGCTCAGCCAAGGATCTTCCCCATGCCTCACTCTTCCCAGAGAGACCAGGGTCAGATGAGTGGGGTAGGGTTTCACTGCTCCCCAGCCACATCTGCTTCCCTGTGCACACTGGGCAGGGAGACACGTAGGGAGGGCACAGTCACGGACAGGCGTGCTGAAAACCCGTTCTGTGCCTGTCTGTGAGGCCTGGTGTCGGGGCCACACCTTTGCTACTGACATGCTCTTTATCTTGGGGTCAGTTTTGAGATTCCATTTGTGCCCCCAACCACTGCATTGTTCAGTTGGAAGCTGACTCAGAGGGGCACAGCCATTGATGTAAACCAGTATTTTCAAATGTCTGCCTCACACACCTTCTTCAGCCATCAATGCATGAGAACAAAAAAATGTGCCTATAGAAAGCAGTGGCATTGACAAGAGGCAAGTGAACTCACCATCCACCACCATGGAGTCGATTCCAACCCAAGTGCCCCTAGAGGACAGAGTGGAACTGCCCCACAGGGTCTCCAAGGCTGTCAAACCCACAGAAGCAAAGCCCAAACCACACCCACTGTCGTGGAGTCGATTCTGACTCACAGCGCCCCTAGAGGACAGAGTGGAACTGCCCACAGGGTCTCCAAGGCTGTCAATCTTCACAGAAGCAAAGCCCAAACCAAACCCATTGCCGTGGAGTCGTTTCTGACTCACAGTGACCCTAGAGGACAGAGTGGAACTGCCCACAGTGTCTCCAAGGCTGTCAATCTTCACAGAAGCAAAGCCCAAACCAAACCCATTGCCGTGGAGTCGATTCTGACTCACAGTGACCCTAGAGGACAGTGTGGAACTGCCCTAGGGGGTCTCCAAGGCTTTAAGGGAAGCAGACTGCCTCATATTTCTCCCACAGAGGTAGTGGGTTTGAACTGCTGACATTTTGATTAGAAATCCAATGCTTTAACCACAGCACCACCAAAGTTCCTTAATTGAACTGATACTGAAAACCAAAAGTCTAGATACTGAAAGAGAAGTTGGAAATGCCCCACCAACTCCAGCCAGTTCCCATGGCATTGATTCCAACTCCTGCCGACCCGCTGTGTGTCAGAGAAGAATTGGGCTCCTGGGTAGATTTTTCAGAAGCGGTTGGTGAGGCCTTTCTTCCGAGGGGCCCATGGGTAGACTTGAACTAATAGCTGAGAACTTAACCATCTGCACCACCTAGAACATCCCCACCGACCTAAAACACTGCCAGTGAGTCGATTCTGACTCACAGAGACCCTACTGGACCAAGAAGGATTGCCCCAGAGGGCTTTTGAGGCTGGAAATCTTTACAGAGGCAGACAGCCCCATCTTTCTCCCACCGACTAGCTGTGGGTTTGAACTGTGTATCTTTCAGTTAGTAGCTGAGTGCTTACCCACTGTGCCACCACACCTCCCCACTGACTTTAACCCCTGCATATGGCAAGTCTTCAGTAGCACCAAGGCCCTGCTCCTCCCTGCTCCTAAAACAGCAGATTTCAGTCACGCCCTTCAGGTTGTGAACTGCAGTGTCTTATCTTAGGACCATTTTAAAGAACTTACTGAAAGCATGCTGCATGTCACAGCCCTCTGAAAACAACAGGATATGAAGCAGTCTCTTCAGAGAAGCCACAAACGAAAACGTCTCTAACTTGCTTCACACCAGAGACAAAAGGACCTTGAAGCAACGTTAGAAAAGAGCCAAGTGCTTTGTTAGGAACACGACAGCCTGGTACCAGCTCACGTGGGAAGAAAGCCACAGAGCCCAAGGAATTTCACATTTACTCTGGCTTCCAAACAACACAAGGGAAGGCGCCTGTCTGGTGGGAAGGGTGCGCCCCGCTGCGCGCAGCCCGGGTGACCGCACCTTGCTCCTCAAGGATCCCGTTGGGCATCTTCTTGTCGCTGGTGTTGACCACCGCCTTCCGCTGCTTCCGGAACCTTGGAGACACAAGCATGGTTAGGCATCAGCAAGGCGGCGTTCCCAGGAGCCGGGCCGGGTGCAGGCTACCCACCAGGTGAGTCTGGAGAAGCTCCTCCTGCTGCCCATGCTGAGCGGTGTCCCTCGGCCCGGCCGCCCTGTGGCCCACGCCCGCCCGCCGAGTGCCTCACTTCCTCTTGGCCCGTCAGGGCAAGTCAGCAGGGACACTCCTACCTGAAGAAGTAGGCAGCCAAGAGGAGGAGCCCAAGGAGGAGCAGGGGCAGCAACAGCCAGGCCAGCAGCGGCTGGGGGGTGCCAGAGCCCGGAAGGCCTGTGGGCAGAGTGGGGAGGGGTGCTGACCACCCAAGGCAGGGGGCGCGATGCGGGAGGGCCGGGGTCTGGGCCAGGCCGCCCTCCACCCTTCGCAGAGTGGTCCCCTCCCAGCCCACTTCCCGACACCAGACCCCACTTCACAGTTTACGAAACAGTCTCCCACCAGCCGGTTTTCCTAACATCAGACCCCACTTCACAGTTTGTAAAGCAGCCCCCTCTCAGCACTTCTTCCTGATACCAGATCCCACTTCACAGTTTCTAAGCAGTTCCACACTCATGGCACATGGTGTCCACACCAGCCCTGGGACATAACAAAGAAGCAGCCATCACTGTGACCAATGACAAGAGAAAGGGATGCAGGCTGAGGCTGGGATGAGCTCCCAGACTCCAGCATGACCAGGGGCCTGCTCGCTCCATCCCCTCTAGACCCTGCCACGCCTGCCTCTCTACTTAACAAGGAGAGAAGTTGGGTATGTAGCATGCCCTGGGGCTCTGGCCCAGGATGGCATGGGGGGAAGCTCTGCCCTTACATGGCTACACCCCTTCAAGTTCCCTGCATCCACAGAGTACCTGCTGCTCTTGGGGTGTCCACCACCCTAAGCCTGCCAAGGCCTTGGCCAATGTGCCCTTTTCCCCGTCCCCTAGGCTGTCACCCCCAGGGTGGGGCAGGCTCCTCCCTGGAATGTCCCTGTGTCACCAGGCCTCACGCTGGCTCTGTGCCCTGAACTTGCTCCACGCCTGGATTCCTAGCAAATGCTGACAGTGTGCTGACTCCTGGCATGAGGCATACAATGCACTGAGGACTTGTTGGCCCCTGAGGAGGGGGTCCTGCCATGGGGGTGGGCACCCTAAGTCTGTGCAGTGGGTCCATCTAAGATTCCACCCGCCCCTGCTGCAGGTGGCACCATGCCTCCTCTACCTGGCTAGCAGAACTGAGGGCTCGGTGACTGGCATCCCTGAGCCTTCCCCAGCCAGGTGGCAGCGGCCCTGGCCCAGAGTTGGTTGGTTCTGGGCATCAGGCAAAGCCTGACACTTTCTTGCTCCTGCAGCCCCACACCACCATGGCTGACTTTCTGGATGGGATGGAACGCCCACCCTTGTATCTTGGGCATTGCAGCTGGGAAATCCCCACTCTGCATTTGCACAGAGGTGGGCTATTGGGTCAGCTCTGAAGCCCTGCTTGTGAGGTCCTGAGGGTTCAGGGGACCTGTGTGAGGTGCGGGCAGGCCCAGGAGCATCACAGGGTTGGCTCGATCAGAGTCCAGAGCACAGACCCCAAGCCTGTCCAGGCTGCGAGCAAGGGCACAGGCCATGTCAGGAGGCTCCAGAGCCCTGTCTCTGAATCACCCTGCCTGGAGGACAAACTCAAGGCACAAGGGGATGATCCCATAGTGCATCTGTCCCAGAGGATGGTTGTGTGGTGGAAGCCCAGAGGGCCACAGTACACACGGGCACAGTCCCGATCACAGGGGTCATTGTCCCAAATAATACTTGTACTTCTCTCAGGAGCAGGTGAGGCTTCAAAGAGCACTCCACACAGTGGGTTCCCTCCAGCCCTTTAGGCCAAAGAGGTTCATCCACACAGGACAACCTGAGGCCTCAAAGGAGGAAACACATGTATTTACTCCGCTGTGTGAATGCAGGGCTTACATCAAGGGCAAAAGTTGTACACGAGGACGAGAAGTATACACAGGGGTATAAAGTATACACAGGGATGAGAAGTATACGCAGGGGCTAGAAGGATATGGGTGGATGAGAAGCTGCACACGGGGTGAGAAGGGTAACAGTGGTGGGAAGCTGTACACAGGGGTGAGAAGTGCACACAGGAGTGAGAAGCTGCACACGGGGGTGAGAAGCTGTACACAGGGGTAAGAAGTTGTACATAGGGATGAGTATACATGGGGTGAGAAGTGTACATGGGGATGAGAACATGTACATGAGGTGAGAAGTGTACACAGGGGTGAGAAGCGTCCATGGGTGAGAATCTGTATATGAGGTGAGTTTATATGGGTGGTGATAAGTATACATGGAGGTAAGAAGTATACACAGGTGAGAAGCTGTACATGAGATGAGGAGCTGACACAGAGCTACACACAGAGGTGAGAAGCGTACATGGGGGTGAGAACATGTACACAGGGTGAGAAGAGGACATGGGTGTGAGAATCTTACATGGGGGTGAGAAGTACGTGGGGGTGAGAAGTGGACACGGGGAGTTTCACATTTGGTTCAGGGAGATGAGGTCACGTGGCTGTCTCTTCTGTAAGTAACACTGGATGTTCTACGCCATGTTGTAAATCAGGACAGTTATTGTGAAATACAAAGGCCTTGGTGTGGAGTGAGAACATCACGCAAGTACCACTCGGCTGGAGACCGGGGTCTGCAGTGAGATGGTCCCCCTCTTTCAGATAAGTGAGGCTCTGCTCTACTACGATACCTGGGCATAAGCGGGTATATAAGCAGTGTCTTGGGGGCTCCTACATGGCCTGTTGAACTCCTGGGTGGTGTCTTTGTTAGGCCTTCCTATGGGGGCTGCATGGGGGCAAGCAGACGTCAGCCCTTCTCTGCCTGGAACAGGGGTGTACCCCACCCTCAGGCTAGGTCCAGGGACACCGCCAATAACCGAGCTCCCGAGGGGCTGGGCTAACAAAGAGGCCACGTGGCAGACGTCCCTAGACTGCTGGTGGCTGCAGGGCTTCCATTCTGCAGGAGCAGATCTCTCCGGGGTCAGAGGAAGGGGACTCCCTGGGAGGTGAAAAAGTTAACATGCTCAGCTGCTAACTACAAGGCTGGGGTTCAAGTCCACCAGAGGGGCCTTGGAAGAAAGGCCTGGAGACCTTTATCATAAAATGGGCCACCAAAAGCCCCCTGGAGCACAGTGCCACTCGGACTCACGTGGGGGCGCCGGCAGTTGCAGTGAATGCGATGGCTCTCACTGCAGACACCGGGTCACTTAGAAACTGTCCCTTAGCTGGGGCCTTGGTTGATGATGGAGCTCCTCGTCTTCTGGCCATTTGTCTAGGGCTAGGAGATCATGGGAAATCCCCCTCTGGCTGAGGACTGAGCCCAGGCCCCAGGATGAATGGTGCCAAGCTCTCTGTGGAGGGAGGTTGACACCGCCACTCTCCCTAAGCCTTGAGATGCCCAAGGGCGACCTGTCAGGGTAGCTCTAGAGTTTTGTGCAGAGGTGTTGGGGGATGAAGAAGGAAGGGACACAGGGATGAAGGAGGCAGGGCTGGTGACAAGGTCCCTGTGCAGAGTAAGGGGACTGGTCTTTGCTGGTCATAGGCTCCTACCCCAAGCCAAGGGAAGGAGCAGCCAACTATAGAGAGGCCTCCAAGTCCACGGGGGAGGCCTGGAGCTGCCCAGGAAACGCTCACAGTCCTCAGGAAACGCTCAGTCCTCAGGAACCATGAACCTCCCCATCAGGTTTCTCGGGCCACAGGCACAGGAGGGCCTGAAGGTTCAGCAAAGCAGGTAGAGGAGGGCCTGAAGGTTCAGTTCTCTGGGTGGCAAGGGACTGCTCACCTAGGACACACTTCCAGCTGAAAGCAACAGTGTCAGCCGACAGGAGGATGCTCTCTCTCCATCCCTGGGAGTGTTTTGTGTGCTGTTGTCTCCTTGAACCCTCATGGCAATGCCAAGACGTAGGTGCCACTATTAGCTCACAGGATGACAGTAAGGCACAGAGAGGCTCAGTAATGCGCCCGAGGTCAGCCAGCCAGTGAGCTGGAGAACTGAGCTAGAGCCTGGGCAGAGGGGTGTGTGACTATGTTCCTGCCTTCATTGATTCCTTTCAGTCCCTGGATTTTACCTGGTTTATTGTGTAATCCACACACCACAAAGGTCACTCGTTTTAAGTGTGTCATCCCATCATATTCAGTAAACGTGCAGAGCTGTGTGGTCATCAGTAACCCGATTCTAGAACATTTCCATCACCCCAGTAAGAGCCTTCCTGCGCATCTGAGGTCACTTCCTGTTCCCACTCCCAGCCGCCGGCAACCACACGGCTGCTTTGGTCTCTATAGACCTGTGTTTTCTGGACACAGAAGCAGAATCAGACAACATGTGGACTTTTTGTCTGGCTCCTAGGCTTGTCTCTGAGGATCCTCTATGTTGTAGCACAGATCAATGTACCATGTTTTTGCATAGAATGCACCCACGCATGTGATGCACACAGCGAACACAGGAAGCTGACACGTGAGGGGCTGCACGGTTTTGGGGAAATAAACACTTGTGTCATGTGCTTGTTCTTTATGTGAAAATATGGTTTTCTATCTTCTTCAAAATTAAAAAAAATTCAAAATATAAAAAAAGAAAGAGACTAGAGCAATGAATCTCTACACATCTGCAAAGGAGCCTTGGTGGCACAATGGTTACGCACTCAGCTGCCAACTGAAAAGTCAGTGGTTCGAACCCAGCTGCTCCATGGGAGATAGATGAAGATTGACAGCCTTGGAGAATGTATGGGGCAGTTCCAGTCTGTCCTCCAGGGGCTCTGTGAGTTGGAATCAACTCCAAGCAGTGGGTTTGGTTTAGGCATTGCTTCCATGAAGACTGACAGCCTTGGAGACCGTGTGGGGGCAGTTCCACTCTGTCCTCTAGGGCGCTGTGGGTTGGAATTAACTCCATGGCAGTGGGTATGGTTTGGGCTTTGGTTCTGTGAAGATTGGCAGCCTTGGAAACCCTGTGGGGCAGTTCCACTCTGTCCTCTAGGGGTGCTGTGGCTCAGAATCCACTCCACGGCAGTGGGTGTGGTTTGGGCTTTGCTTCTGTGAAGATTGATAGCCTTGGAGACCCTGTGGGCAGTTCCACTATGCCCTCTAGAGGCTCTGTGAGTTGGAATCAACTCCAGGCAGTGGGTTTGGTTTAGGCTTTGCTTCCATGAAGGCTGACAGCCTTGGAGACCCTATGGGGACAGTTCCATTCTGTCCTCTAGGGGTGCTGTGGGTTGGAATTAACTCATGGCAGTGGGTTTGGTTTAGGCTTTGCTTCTGTGAAGACTGACAGCCCTGGAGACCCTGTGGGCAGTTCTGCTCTGTCCTCCAGGGTCATTACGAATTGGAACCAACTCAGTGGCAACAGGTGTGCACGCCACTTTTCCAACTGACACAAGAACAACTTCATTCAGCCCTACCCTACCCTGTTCCTATTCTCGTAGACTTCATGTCAGGTCATTTGTATCCCCTTCCATGTGCAGATCTAAAGCATGAGGACTTGTATTCCAAAAACCAAACCAAACCCAAACCAGAACTGTACCAATAGCTCACCTAGAAATGTTAACAATGATGTCTAGGTTAGTATCATCAACTTTTATGGCCGTGTTTGAATTTCCCCATCAACTCACCGGCGTTTGGAGGGGTGTGAGTCAAGTCCAGCACAGGGAGGTGGGGTTTTTAGTGCCCCACTCTCCTGCCTCCCACTGAGGCTGGCGCTATCATTCAGTGTGGAGGCTTGGGTAAGCTGCTCCCAGAATACCACACCTCACACCACTCAGGTACTGAGCAGGCAGTGTTTGGCCTGAGTGTCCTCATGCTGGGATATTACGCACACACCAAGCAGACCAGCTGTGTCTTCCTTCTCTCACATTACCAGCCTCTCCCTACCTTGCACTAGGAACCCTGAACTGTCTAAGAGCTTAGTGGGTGGCAGTGGAGGACTGCCTTGAGCAGGTGAGTCCTTACCTGGGGTGGCAGTCCTGTTGCTATCAGGTGCAGTGGTCTGGTTGTCTTTGACAGCTCTGGCAAGCGGCCAGCTAAACCCAGCGAGCAGGAGTGGACAGAGGGGCTCCATGGCAGACCTATGGAGAGGAAGGGACAGGCTCAGAGGGGTCACCATTCCTGGCCACAGCCACAGCCACTCCTTGTGGAGGGCCATGGGATGTCAGAGGGAACGTCAAGAGCTATGGGACAACAAGGGACAAGGTTGTGGTCACTGCTTGGTCACAGTCAGCTACCCAGAGGGACCGAGTAGTTGACCCTGTGGGCTTGGGACCATAGTCGCAGGGGACATCAAGCTCAATTGGCATAACATACTATACAAAACATTGTTCCACCTCCTACTTTGGGGAG